ACCGGCGCGCTGTGGCTGATGACCGCCTGTTCGGTCTGTAGCACTCCCAGGGGACTACTGCCGCTGAAGGCCGCGCGTTCAGTGTTCCTGACCCTCGATGCTGCGAGGAGGCTCGAGATATCCTCCACCATCCGCTCGGAGAAACGTCGTGGACCTCCTCTCGGGGGGAGGCTGGTCTCCGAGCGCAGGCGCGCCCTCTGCGGAATTCCCGACTGTCGCCACGATACTGTTGCCAGGGGGGGGCGCAATTCCGGCCACATCTTCCGCCTCAACAACGAGACCGCCCCCGGGGCGCTGATAGGATTGAGGGTCTGTAGGAGCGCCTGCTTGGTTGTCTCCTGGACGGGAAGGCACCGGCGCGCTGTGGCTGACGACCGCCTGTTCGGTTTGTGGCTCTCCCAGGGACTACTGCAGCTGAAGGCCGCACGTTCCAGTGTGAACTCCTGACCCTCTCTGCTGCGAGGAGGCTCGAAATATCCTCCATCATCCGCTCGGGGAGGCGTCGTGGACCTCCTTTCGGGAGCAGGCCGGTCTCCGAGCGCAGGCGCGCCCTCTGCGGCATTCCCGACTGTCGCCGCGATGCTGCTGCCAGGGGGGGCGCGCAATTTCGGCCGCATCTTCCGCCTCAACAACGAGACCGCCCCCGGGGCGCTGATAGGAGTGAGGGGTTGTAGGAACGCCTGCTTGGTCATTTCTTGGAGGGGAAGGCGCCGGCGCGCTGTGACAGACGACCGCCTGTTCGGGCCGTGGCACTCCCAGGGGACTACTGCAGCTTGAGGCCGCGCGTTCCAGCGTGAACTCCAGACCCTCGATGTTGCGAGGAGGCTCGAGGTATCCTCCAACGTCCGCTCGGGGAGGCGCCGTGGACCTCTTCTCGGGAGGAGGCTGGTCTCCGACCGCGGGCGCTCCCTCAGCAGCGCTCCCACCTGTCGCCGCGATACTGTTGCCAGGGGGGGAGCAATGGAATATGAGGCGGTGGCCGACAGCCCCGGCGACTGGCAAAGTGATAGCTTGAGCTCGTGCCACAACAGCTTGAGCCACAACCGCTTGAGCCTCAACAACGAGACCGCCCCCGGGGCGCTGATAGGAGTGAGGGGCTGTGGGAGCGCCTGCTTGGTTGTCTCCTTGAAGGGAAGGCACCGGCGCGCTGTGGCTGACGACCGCCTGTTCGGTCTGTAGCTCTCCCAGGGGACTACTGCAGCTGAAGGCCGCGCGTTCCTGTGTGTGAACTCCTGACTCTCTATGCTGCGAGGAGGCTCGAGATATCTCCCATCATCCGCTCGGGGAGGCGTCGTGGACCTCCTTTCGGGAGCAGGCCGGTCTCCGAGCGCGGGGGCGCCCTCTGCGGCATTCCCGACTGTCGCCGCGATTCTGCTGCCAGAGGGGGGCGCGATTTCAGCCGCATCTTCCGCCTCAACAACGAGACCGCCCCCGGGGCGCTGATAGGAGTGAGGGGTTGTAGGAGCGCCTGCTTTGTTCTCTCCTGGACGGGAAAGGCGCCGGCGCGCTGTGGCCGACGACCGCCTGTTCGGTCTGTAGCTCTCCCAGGGGGCTACTGCAGCTGAAGGCCGCGCGTTCCAGTGTGAACTCCTGACTCTCTATGCTGCGAGGAGGCTCGAGATATCCTCCATCGTCCGCTCGGGGGGGCGTCGTGGACCTCCCTTCGGGAGGAGGCCAGTCTCCGAGCGCAGGCGCGCCCTCTGCGGCACCCCCACCTGTCGCCACGATACTGTTGCCAGGGGGGGGCGGAATTTCGGCCACATCTTCCGCCTCAACAACGAGACCGCCCCCGGGGCGCTGATAGGAGTGAGGGGCTGTAGGAACTCTTGCTTGGCCATTGCCTGGAGGGGAAGGCACCGGCGCGCTGTGGCTGACGACCGCCTGTTCGGTCCGTAGCACTCCCAGGGGACTACTGCAGCTGAAGGCCGCACGTTCCAGTGTGAACTCCTGACTCTCTATGCTGCGAGGAGGCTCGAGATGCCCTCCATCCACCGCTCGGGAAGGCGTCGTGAACCTGATGTCGGGAGGTGGCCGGTCTCCGACCGCAGGCGCGCCCTCCGCGGAGCCACTGTCACCGCGACCCTGCCACTAGGAATGGGCGCGCTGTTGGGGGCATATTCGGCCTCCACCAAGACTCTGTGCCTGGGGCGCTGATAGGAATGAGGAGCTGTAGGAACGCCTGTCTGCCTGTCTCTGACAGAAGGAAGAACCGACCCGCTGCGGCTGACCACCGCGTGCTCTGTCTGTAACTCTCCTTGGCGACTGATGCAGCTCACGGCCGCTGGTTGGCGACTGTCTTCAGGCGAAACGCCACCTCCAGATTTGCAGCAATCGTCAACCTCAGATTTGCGATTGTCTTCAAGCGGGTCGGTTCTGCGCCCAGGGAGCGCGCTCGCGACGGCGTCCGCCGCGTGCCCGGCAGCCTGGGCCGGGGCCGCGACGGCCGTCCAGAGGGAGGCCTGCGCAGCCTTTGCGGCGGCAGCGGCGCAGGCGCGCGCGGCGGCGGCGGCGGCTGCGTCGTGCGTAGCACTGGCGCCGACTGCGCGGACGCTTGGGGCGTCAGCAGCGTCGGCGGCGAAGGCGGCGCGGGGCGCGGGCCGCCGGGCACGGGCGGCGCCGACTCGCCCGAGGGCGTCGGCTGCGTCCGCGGCCCTGGTTGGTGCGCGCGCGTGGGCCGCCGCAGCCACGTCGGCCCCCCAGAAGGCGCTGGCGGCGGAGGCCGCGGCGGGGCAGCCATCGCCAACGGCGCCAGCGGCGTTGGCGGCGCCGCGCCGCCGCAGGTCTCCATCGCCCGGGGCTGAGCGCCAAACGCGCATGGGGGGGGCGCGCCGTCTTGACTGCCAGGATTACCAGGGTTGCGACTGAAGGTCGCTCTTTTATTCTGCACTGCCAGGCATCTGCATGGGACCCCGCTACTTCCTCGGCTGAAGGCCGACTTGTCACTCGTACTGTCGCCAAGAAACACGGGATTAATCGGCGAATCCGAGGTGGGATTGATCGGCATGCTGGGGGCTGGATCTACCTGAGATGCTGGCCGCGCTGCACGGTAACGACCCAGGGGGCAGCAGAAGGCTGCACTTCCGGTGAAAGAACCCTCCAGATAGTCGTCAGTCGCCCTGGTCACCACGGCTGGAGCCGCCCCGAAATTCTGAGTTCCTGGTCCCCTGAGGCTGGTGCTGCTGCAGCTGCTTCGGCTGCTGTTGCAGCCGCTGCTGCCCTGCTGGTGCGTCTGCCCGCTGGGGGCCTGTTGGCGCTGCAGCGGCGCGGTCGCGGCGGCGCCAGCCGCGGCGGGCCCAAACGCGGCAGCGCGGGCCACGGCGGCCGCGGCGCCGGCCGCGTGGCCCGCGGCCGCAGCGGCGGCCGCCTCCGCCTCGGCCGGCGGCGGCGGCGGCGGCGGCGGCCGCCGCGGCGCTGGCGGCCGCAGGGGGGGCGGCGGCGGCACCGGCCGCCGAGCCCGCGGACCAGGCGCCAGCGGCGCCCGCGGCGCCGGCGGCGCCCGCGGAGCCAGCGGCATCGCCGGCGGCGGCGGCGCCAGCGCCGCGCCCGGCGCCAGCGGCGCCTGCGGCGCCAGCGGCATCGGCGGCGGCGCCCGCGGCGCCACAGGCGGCGGCGGCGCCCGCGGAGCCGACGGCGCCGCCGGCGCAGGGGCCGCCAGCGGCGCCGGCGGCGCCCGGCGGCCGCAGAGACAGCCGCGGCGGCCGCCGCCGCGGCCGAGGCGGCGGCGCCGCGGCGGCGGCGGCCGCGGCGGCCGCGGGGGCGGCAGCGCCGGCGGCACAAACCGCAGCAGCAGAGGGCGGCCCGCGGCGGGCCGCGCAGCCAGGCAGCCAGCAGGGGGCGGCAGCCCCGGCGGCGGCCGCGGCGGGCCGCGCGGCCGCGCAGTCAGCAGGGGCCGCGGCGGCGGCCGCGGCGGCGGCCCCGGCCGAGCAGCCGGCCGCCGCGGCAGGGGCGGCGCAGGCGGCAGCCAAGAGCAGCGGCAGGCCAGGCGGCGGCGCCGCGGCGGCCACGGCAGCCGCGCTGGCGGTGCCAGCTCGGCGGGCGGCCGCCGCCCGCCGCTGCTGCCGCCGGCAAGCCGTGCGCGCCGACGGCGACATCAAAGCGAGGCTTGCGACACAAAGACCCACGGCCGCGCGAGGGCTCACCGTGGGGATCGTGCGAAAAGAAAGAAAGCCTGCTGCAGGCGCGCACGCCTCGGGCCAGCCCCTCGGCAGCAGACAAGCACGAAACCGCAGGGCGACGGTTTCGTACTTGAGCCAGGGGGCTACGGACTGGTGGGGATACGAGAAGCGTCAAGAATTTCGATTCGTCCGCTTCGGTTCGCCCGCTTGTCGATTCGCACGCTTCGGCTCGACCGGTCTCGATTCGTCCAGGCTTCGGAAGGAGGACGAAACGAAAAAGGACAAACGCAAGACGATAAAACAAAAGAGTGCGAAACAAAAGCGGACGAAGGGGAAACAACAGCGGGCGTATGCGCGCAGGCGGACGAGACCCCCACCATTCTCCCCCTCTGGGGGAGCCAAAAAGGTACCGATACCGCTACTCCCCGCACCTCTGCTGGGGTGCGTTCAGACCAGGTTTTCGAGCGAATCCAACGGTGGCGACGAGGGCCTCCCAGGAGGCCACAACGAGGGAAACCGAGGGATGGATAGCAGTATGGGTACCTACTCCTCCTCTGAAGGGTGGGGGGGCCAGAACCTGGAAAATGTACGCTGCAGCGCCAGGTTGGGAAGCCGAGGAGGATATATCGAGGAGGAGCATCGACGAGGGGGAGCGAAGGGAAGCCGAGGAAGGCAGGGGAAGCGAGGGGAAAGGCGTTCGCTGCCCCATGGGGCGCTCCACCCGAGGCCTCAGTGGCGGTTCTCGCATGCGTGCCCCGCAGCCACATCGGCACACCTTACGCGTTCCGTGGCCAGCAGGGGAAACGAGGGAAGGGCAGCAGTGCGGGTGCCTTTTCCTCCTCGGACTCTCGGCCCGGACGGCCCCCCGTCGCTGCCCGCCGCCGCCTCGGCTCCTCGACGCTGGCGAGCACCAGGAACTGCTTCTTGCGCTCGACCATGACCAGCGCCTTCTCGGACTCCCCCTCCTCCTTATCCTCTTCCTCATCCTCCTCCTTATCCTCCTCCTCCTCCTCCCTCCTCCCTCCTCCCTCCTCCTCTTCCTCCTCCTGCTCCTCCTCTTCCTCCTCCCCCATTCCTTTTCCTTAACATTAACTTCTCCCTGTCTCACCCCGAGGCCAATGTTTAGGGCGGGCCGGGCGTTCCGCCTGAGACAAGATCACCATCTATGACTCTGAAACTTAACAGTGATAACAATTTCACAGATAGAGTACGGGTGGTTTTCGAAATGTGGCTCTCGCCGTACCGCTGCGCACATTCGTTTCAAACATTTGCAAGAGTTTCACGGGTTGAGGGCGGGTCGTTTTCAAAATGTGGCTTTCGCCTTAGCGCCGCGCACATTCGTGTTTTAAACTTTGCAAGGGTTTCACGGATTGACGGCGGGTCGTTTTCGAAATGTGGCTCTGGCCTTAGCGCCGCGCACATTCGCTTAATTGCAAAAGTTTCACGGGTTGAGGGGGGTACTTTTCAAAATGTGGCTCTCGCATTCGCGCCGCGCACATCCGTTTCAATTTTACACAGGTTCACATATTCCCATAACCAACGTACCAGACATGATGTTTTGGAAGGATTCAGGATTAGGTGAGCGCAACAAATAAGTTGATTCGCGTTGTGGAAGTCCCAAAATGGCGTTCTGACCCGATTTCAGATCGTCAGGACGCAGCAGTCAGCTTGATCCGTGGCGTGGTAATCTCGAGAACAACGATTTGGCATGCTTCAAGGTCTTCAAACGGTTGTCTTCCAACGAAACAGTTCCCCCGATGGAAATGAACCATTGTAGGGGCCTGTGAAGAGGGAGCTTGGAGGGAGGGTTAGTTCCAACATCGTTGATGACTCTTGGGTTTACGCTATTCCTCCTCCTCCTCCTGCTGCTCCTCCTCCTCCTCCTCCTCCTTCTCCCCCCTCCCCCTCCCTCTCCTCCTCCTCCTCCTCCTCCTCTTCCTCCTCCTCCTCCTCCTCCTCCTCCTCCTCCTCCCGTTCCCCCTCCTCCTCCTCCTCTCTTCCTCCACCTTCTCCCCTTTTCCTCCCCCTCCTCCTACTCCTCGTCGTCGTCCTCCTCCTCCTCCTCCTCCTCCTCCTCCCCCTCCTCCCCCTCCTGCTGCTCCTCCTATACGAGGAAGAAGGCCCCAAGACGGCCCAGGAGAGCCCCAAGACGGCCCCAGAGCCCTCCAAAGACTGCCTCACAAGAGGCCAATACAGCCCGAATGAGCTTGATGAGAGCCCCCCACGGACAAGAGACGAAAGGTGTCAGATGTGACGGTCTTGCTCGTCCTCCTCCTCCTCCTCCTCCTCCTCCTGCTCCTCCTCGTCATCATCATCCTCATCATGCACATCACAGCTCCCCCCAGCCTGGGGGCAGGAGCTATCACACGCAACGGCCTCCTGTGCCCCCATCGAACAATCAGCACCCAGAAGGATGGCGTGGCACGGTGGCGGGACCTGCCGCAAGCAGCTGGATACGATTGTCAAACTCTCGCGCGTGCTCGGCAAGCTCGCTTGCACTAACACCGCAACGGCGAAGTCTCAACCACCGTGCTCGCCAACATGTCGAGCGCTTCCACTTCACGACAGCTCATACCTGCTCGGCACCTGCTACCCAATCGACCTTTGATCAACCTTCGAGGCAGCTGAACGCAAGTGAGGGACACTACGGCCAAATCCCACCATGCGCGTTCCAACCCCAGCCTTCACCATCTATTGGAATGAGGTCGCCGCCAACATTAGCTGTGCCTGTGGCACTTCCGGCCACTCAGACAATGTTCGGTGGCAGCTCATGGGAGCCTCCCATACCATCGTGTCGGCTCTTGCGAATCGACGTCAATCGACGCTAAATCGACGCTAGTCGACGCTATCTCGACGCTAATCGAGGCTGACCGACGCTCCATCGGCGCTATCGCATTGACGCCCCGAGGCTAATCGACGAAAGACGTAATTAGAAGGGTCTACCAAATTCCCATAATTTGCCACCGAAGACAATGTTATGTGTTCCGGGACGCAATCATGCGTCAACACCTCTAGAACACTTTTTTCGTCAGCGGCGAGGCGGCGAAATCCGCACCAGCGTAACAGCTAGGTAGGGGCACTAACTAGCGAATTGGCCGGCGTGCAAGGAGGGAGGGGGGAGGCCGACAGGAAGGAGGGACGCTCAGACGCCGAAGATTTCCCCCTCTAGAACATACACCATTGACAGGAGCAATGCGGCCAAGCTGCGGATTACTGGAATGCCATGTGGTCGCCACGGCGATCGGAACGAAGACACTCCAATTGCCTCTCTTTATCGGTGTATGGGCTTTCCGCTCACTCGAATCCGCGTTTAACCGCACACGTGTTGCCTGGCTCGGCGCAAGCAACCGTCGCTGCAACAACTCAGCTACCCTCTCCCTTATCCTATCACTCCTCCCCCTCATAGCCCTCAGCATGATATCCCGTTGTCACCCTCAACCGATTGCCCCCGCTACTGCCCTTTCCCCTGGAAAGGCTCCCAGACGCTATGCAGCCTTGCAGTGCAGCTGGAATTTCTTCCTGCCAAGTTGCCTTGCCGCTGCACCATCGACAAAAGAAGGCACAACATCAAAACGCAAGACTTGCTCAACGTCTTCCGCTTCCTCATCCTCCCGCACGGATTGCTGCTGCTCCTCCTGCTCCGCATCCTGATTTCCCCATCTTAATGAATTTGTCCGACAACGAATCATCGGCTTGTCAAATGTTTGGCGTCATATGGAGCATCATCTGCCAATCAACGAGCCGGGTACTGATCACACGCTGCCTTGTGACCCTCTTCCGTATCGGCCTTGTTTTTAGTCATGGATTTCTGCATGTGTATAGTTGGCTCTCCAACTATTTCAACTTCTCTCTCTATCTATATATATATCTATTCCACTCGACGTACCCCCCTGGCACTCAAATCGGCGAACTACCCGACCTGATCTTTACACATAACAGTAGTATAACCACGCGAGCGATTCTCGCGCGCATAGATTGTAGCAAGATCTGGTTGTAGTCTAAAATGTTCGGCGACGGAGGACATATAGTGTCACACAGACCGTGCCTCTCAGGAAGCTCCACCGGCGGCTCCATATACAAACTTGTCTGATAGTACCCCCGCCTATGCCAGCACACCCGTCGAGGGAATCGCGCCCCACAGGGATCTCCACCTACGTCCCCAGAGGCAAGGTTCGCACACTGGCACGCCCCTCGCGCGGTTCGTGCCCAGCAAGTAAGTGCAGTTTCTGCACCAGAAGAAGCTTCATAGCGTCGCCTGGCTTACTTCGGCACACCTCTTACACGGATCCTGAACTGCAGGGAGTTCCACGGACGGTCCCAGAGGCAAGGCTTGCATGCAGGCCCCCCTGCCTACTTCGGCACACCCCCGAGAGTTCCCAGAGACACCCCAAAGCCGCCTCCAAGAGGCTTCCCGAGTCCTCCCAAGAGATCCCCAGAGGCAACCAAAAGGCCTCTGACCTACAACCAAGGCACGGTGGCGTGATGGGCCGAATGCTACTAGATCCGCCGCCCCCTGTGCTTGTCACAGGGGTGTCCGGCGTGCTAAACGCTACCGTTTTTGGTTTGGGTTCTTTCCAAAAGAACTCACCCTTGGGCTCCGGCCCAGCGCGCCGGCCACCCAGAAGGGCGCACAAGGCCCGGAAACGACCTCAACGTCCACAAACAAATCTTCGGGTCAATGCCTGTCCCGCTCAAAGATGACCCTAGGCGGCCTCCAAGACGGCTGCGATGTCCCGAGATGGCCTCCAAGCTCGCCCAATATGGTCCAAGACGGACTCCACGACGGCCCAGGAGGGTCCAAGAACATTTCAAGTCGGCCCACGAAGCCTCCAAGACGGCCCAAGAGGCGCTCAAGAGGCCTTCAAGACAGCCCAAGAGGTCTCCCTGAGGTCCTCCAGGAAGGCCCGAAGAGGCCCAAATCATTGATTTTCCAAAAAGGTTTTTGAAGGTTTTCCTGTCTTTCCTTATTTTCGGCTTCCGACGGCCCTGGACGACCCCAGAAGCCCCAAGATCGCCCACGAGGCCTTCCAAAATGGCCCCAGAACGGCCCAAGAGGCCCCGAAGACAGCCCCAAGAGGGCCCCAAGACGGCCCAAGAGGCCTCTAAGATGCCCAAGATGGCCTCCACGATGGCCCTGGATCACCCCAAGAGGGCCCCAAGTCGGCCCAGAGAGGCCCCGCAAACGGTTTCCGACATCGTCCGACGGGCCATGAATGTTTTTTTTTTTCGTTCACCGATCAGTGCAAGCCATCAAGGAAGGTCGGTCAGATGCATGGATGTGTTGGCATAGGATGCAGACGCAAAAAGTGCACGACGCGCCAATTTCGAGCCGAGCACAGCAATCGTGACATTTGTCTCGCTTTGGAGATGCTCCTCTGAAAAGGACGGCCTGCTGACTCTGGCTAGGAACAGAGTGCAGTCGCTCACGACTCGCCAAACACGAGCCGAGCATAGCAAGCGCACTACTTAATCGTGACTGAAAGACGGTCCACAAGTTCGACTGATTGCAATGAAATTTGGACTCTGGCTAGGTTCCAGAGTTGAGCAGCCGAAGTGCGAGTCAATAATGTTCAGCATTGTGTGATCACCCCGCATGATCTGGATAAAAGGCATGTATATCCAGTGCCCCGCACCAGTAGCCTTGTGATGATATGGGTGTGTGGCTGAAATCCTCAGAGCCTGTATGAAAGCCTCGACGTGCTCGATGGGCAGAATGAAGAACAAGTCAGATAGCCTCTTTTCCCGTTTCCAAGAATCCTCGCCCTCCTTGTGAGCAGCATTCGTGACGTTCCACCTCACATTTGCCAAAGTTATTGGTTCCCTAAGCTTGAGGTCGAAGCGGGTCAATACGACAGCGTCGATGGACTTCTTGTCCTGGAGGACCAACTCGAGAACCTTTATGATACTGTCAACGATCAAAGAACTCAAACCGTCCTCGACATCACTGTCGAGATTCTGCTCGTCCCCGTGTTCGTCCTCGTCCTGATCGCGCCGAATCCGCGTTCCTGCTAGATGGTTTGAGAAGTTGTAGCGGGCCGGACGCAGCACGCGCACGAGGCGATCGTCGCGCTGCTGGCTGAGGAGAGCGTCGCCCCCACTTTGGTAGGTGTGGAAGTAGGTCTTCACGCTGGCCCCAGCTGCCTCCAAAGGCCCCACAAGCATCTCCCTATGGGTGTCAACGTTGGAGAAAAAGTCTGAGCAGATGAGCCTGCCATTCTTCGCCCCGTGCTTGGACCAAACCTGGCGGTGATAGTGGCCACGATACGCAAGTGCCACGCGGGCTGGTGGCTTGCAGCTGGGGCAAGGGACTGGGTGCCGCCATCCAGCTGGATCCGCGGTGCTCCACACTTCAGCAATTTCTACAGGGCTAGTGGGATCGCGGCGGGGCACGAGGCCAAAGCAGCGCCAGGGCCAGAAACCAATTAAGGCCGCCAGTGATAGAAGCGATGTCATACAAGACGTGCTTCGGCTGAGTTCGGTACGTGGAACACTCCAAAGCTTGAGCTTGAGCCAAAATGGCTACGGAAACGGGCCATGAATACTTTAATGCGGCCAAAGAGGCCCCCAACATGCATCTAAAAGGTTCCCAGGAAGCTCCAAGGAGGCAATATGAGTGCCCCCAAAGGTTCCCAAAATGCCCCCTCCTCCTCCTCCTCCTCCTCCTCCTCCTCCTCGTGATCTTCTCCGCGATCCTCCCCCGAGTGCTCCCCGAAGGGTTTCTAAAAAGGTTGGGGGAACACATGGCCTGATATCTTGGCAGAGCTCTTGCCACAACGCTCGGCCACATTGGCGATTCCAAAACGCAAGGGGCGGCGGTGATTCGCCGTAGGCGTCTTCGATCCGCCGCACCCTGTTGATTTCTCACAAGGGTGCCTGGCGTGTTGAACTTCCTACGTTTTGGTTTTGGTTCTTTTCCCACAAAAAAAACCCTCCCTTGGGGCTTCGGCCCGTCCCGCCTGCCACGCGGAAGACTCGATTGCCACAATTTTCCCGGTCCGGATGGCTTCAGGATGGCCCAAGATGGCCTCCAAGCCGGCCAAGATGGCCTCCAAGGTCGCCCAATATGGTCCAAGATGGCCCCGAAGACGACCCAAGAGAGTCCAAGATGCCTCCACGTTCGCCCCAGAAGCCTCCAAGACGGTCCAAGACGGCCTCAAGATGACAGCAGACAGCCCAAGAGGCCCCCAAGAGGCTTCCAAGACGGCCCAAGAGGCCTCCTGGAGGTCCTCCAGGAAGGCCCAAGATCCCCAAATCTGCGATTTCCCCAAAAAGGATTTCGGCATTTGCATCGTGTCTGCCTTCCGACGGCGCGAGAACCCAAAGATCGCCCCGAGATCGCCCAACATGCCTCCAGGATGGCGCCAGAACGGCCCAACCGGCTCCCAAGAGGGTCCCAAGACGGCCCAAGAGGCCTCCAAGACGCCAAGATGGCCTCCAAGACAGTACTGGAGCACCCCAAGAGGGCCCCAAGTCGGCCCAGAGAGGCCCCCCAAATGGCTTCCGACGGCGTCAGACGGGCCAGGAGCCCACCACCAAGACGGCCCAAGATGGCTCCAAGATGGCTCAAGACGGCCCCAAAGCCTCCAAGAGGTCTCCAAGACGGTCCCCGAGGCCTCAAAGAGGACCCCCCAGGAGGGCCCAAGAGACCCAAACCAGTGATTTCCGTAGTTTTTGAATCAGGATTTTGGCATTTGCTTTTGTTCGGCTCTGACGGCGTCAGACGGCTTCAAGAGCCCCCAAAGGCCGCCCCAAGATCGCCCAAGGGGCCTCAAGGATGGCCCCAGAACAACCCAAGAGGCTCCCAAGACGGCCCCAAGAGGCCTCCAAGACGCCAAGATGGCCTCCAAGACGGCCCTGGAGCACCCCAAGAGGGCCCCAAGTCGGCCCAGAGGCCCACAAGATGGCTTCCGACGGCGTCAGACGGGCCAGGAGCCCACCAAGACGGCCCAAGATGAATCCAAGACGGCCCAAGATGCCCCCAAAGAGATCTCCAAGACGGCCCCAGATGCCTCTAAGAGGACCGCCAGGAAGGCCCGAAGAAGCCAAAAGCATTGATTTCCCTGAGGTGTTTGCTCAGGACTTCAACATTTTTGCTCAGGTTTGTGCCTGGCTTCCGACGGCGCGAGACAGCCCCAGAGCCCCCAAAGGTCGCCCCGAGATCGCCCAGGAGCCTCCAAGATGGCACCATAAGTGCCCAAGAGACCCCCAAGACGGCCAAGAGGGCCCCAAGACGGCCCAAGACCCAAGTCGGCCCAGAGAGGCCCCCAAGACGGCTTCCGACGGCGTCAGACGGGCCAGGGATGCCCTAAGACTGCCAAAGAGGCCCCCGAGAAGCCCCCAAAGGCCCCCAAGATGCCCAAGGAGGCCCTCAAGGGGCCGCCAAGAGGCTCCCAAGAAGCTCCGAGAGCGATTCCAAACGGCAGGGGGCGGCGGTGAGTCGCCGTAGGCGTCTTCGATCTGCCGCCGCCTGTTGGCTTGCCACAGGGGTGCACGGCGTTCCAGACGTCACGTAGTTGTTGGTTATTTTTGTTTGAAAAGTTCCCAGTGGGCCTTCGACCCATCCTGCCGGCCACCCGAAAAAACCACAAGGACGCTCAATGAGGGGGGGAAAACCACAACACATCGCCTCCACGATCCTCAAGAGTGCTCCGGCCCACGATGGCCCACATACTACCCAAGATGGCCCCCAACACGCCCCAAAAAGATTCCAAGAAGACCTCTCGAAGGTCAAAATGATCGACGATACTTTGATTTTTCGGTGGTTGCTGGTCCATTCTAAACACTCCCAATGGGCCAATCCTGGCGGCCACCCAGAATGATCCGTAAACTTCCCAAATCATCGGTCTTCCCAGTCCAAACGACCCCGAAATGGCATCCACAGCGCCCCATAAGGATTCCCAACTCATCGGTCTTCCCGCTCCAAGACGGCCAAGATGGCTGAAGATGGCCTCCAAGATGCCTCCGAATCGTCTAAGACTGCCCCCAGAGTGCCCAAGATGCCCGCAAGATGTCTCCAAGACAACCCCAAATGCACCCACGATAACCCAAGATGGCGGCAAGATGGCCCAAGACAGCCCGAGAGGCCCCCAAGAGGGCTCCGAGAGAGCCTCCAGGAAAGCTCGAAGAGGTCTCTCCTCCTCTTCTTCTGTCTCCCCCACGTGTGCCCGAAGCGTTTCCACAACGGCTGGAGGAACACCTGATCCGATGGCTTGGAAGAGCACTGGCCAGAACGTTGGACCACATAGGCGCTTCCAAAAAGCAGGGGACAACGGTAATTCGCGGCATGCGTCTTCAATCCGCCGCCCCGCGTTGGCTTGCCATAGGGGTGCACGGCGTGTCAGACTTGAGATATACTTCGTCTTTTTCAGAAATTAAATTCCCAGTGGCACTGTCGGCGAGTGTGAGTGGCTTGGCTGTTCAAATCGTCGTCTCCGTCAGTCGTCGTCTCCGTCGTCCCTTTCCCTGCACCCTCATCCTCAAGCTTGTCAGCGATAGGAAATCTAGTGACATCGTAATCGAGTGGAGGGGAAGCCCCTTCCCTTCGATCCCTTCCCCGCGTCGGGGGGAGGGGGTCCCGCGGGGGGTCCCCGGGGGTCCCCGGGGGGGGTCGCCACTCAGATATGCTTTCCCCCCCTGGGGGCCCTGGGGCCTCAGAAAGTACCAAGACAGGCCAAGAGTGTCCCAAGAGGCCGCCGAGACGGTCCAAGAGGGTCCCTAGTCGCCTAACGATCGGTCCAAAACGCCTTCGCGCCCTCAAGACTGCCCAGGAGGCCTCAAGGACACCCCAAGACGCCTCCAAGAGCACTCCAGAGAGGGCCCCAAGATGCTAAATTCATTGATTTGTCGCTGGTTGTTTTAAGACTTGGGCGTTCTCGCCTTTTCCACTTCCCGCCGCTCCAAAACGGCGCCAGAAGCCCCCGAGATCTCCCCAAGATCTCCCCAGGGGCCTCCAAGAAGGCCCCAGAACATCCCAAAAGGACCCCAAGACAACCCAAAATGGCTCCAAGAGCGTGCCCAGACGGGGGACCCGGCCGGACATTTCAAGCCCTCGGCCCCAAGAGGCTCCCAGGAGGCCCCTAGAGGTTCCCCAGAGGCCCCAAGAGGCCCACAAGAGGTTCCCCAGAAGCCCGAAGAGGCCCCCAAGAGGCTCCCAAGAGGCCCCCAAGAGGCTCTCAAGCGGCCCAAAACATCCTCCCCAGAGGCCCCCGAGAGACTTCCGACGAGACCCCACGAACCATCCCTGAGGTCTCTGGCCCACGTCAGCGTTGTCATCGTTGCCGCCGCCACCGCCGCCGCCGCCGCCCCGGCCGCCGCCGTCGTCGTCGTCGTCGTCGTCGTCGTTGTCGTCGTCGTCGTCGTCGTCGTCGTCGTCGTCGTCGTCGTCGTCTCCCTTCAGGGTCGGCGGCACTGGCCGTGAGGCCTTCGCAGTTTGGTCCTTCGGCCTCCTGCGCGGGCCGCCTGGGAAGACGCGTCCACTGCCCGACTCCTGCGGCCTTCCCGCCCACCCGGGGGCCCTGAAACGTGCCACGTCGTCGGCCTTTGCCGCTCCAGGCGGCCCCAAGATGGCCTCCAGGGCAGCCAAGGCGGTCTCCAAGACGGCTACAGATGGCCCCCAGGGGACCCCGGATGGCCGCAGGACGTCTCCGAGACGGCCCAGGATGCATCCAGGACGCCCCAGGATGGGGCCAAGATGGCCCGAGACGGCGAAAGAGGCCTCCGAGAACATCACGAGAAATCTCCTCCTCTTCTTCGTTCTCCTCCACGCCTTCCCCGAAACGTTTCCACAACCTCTAAGGAAACACCCGATCCGACAGCTTGGCGGAATTCAGGCCACAACGTTCGGTCACAAGGGCCAATCCAAAAGCCAAGGGGCGGCGGTGATTCGCAGTAGGCGTCTCCGAAACATGTATGGATGTAGATGTTGTATGTTTGTTTGGCAACACATCATACATGAATGTATCAAGGTTGTTGGTATCAACATCGTCCACGTTGACATGCAACTCAAATAAACACGAAGGCGACGATCCGTCGGACAAGCTTGAGACCGATATGAACGATGATGTAGAAGGAACCATGGTTGGTCTCAGTCATCCTCCTGCTGGTGCTGCTGCTCCTCCTCCTCCTCTTCGCCATCCCCCACTCGACCTGTCTGCAGTGGGGGCGTAGAGACGCTAGTGAAGTGCTCCGGGTGGCGTGCTGAAGGCTCATATTGCACAATCGAAACACTGTTTCATATTTGTTCGGAAGGAGCTTCCCAAAAACATGTGTGAACCCGCACATCTTTATGGGACAGCAACCAGACGCCCCGCGGAGAAGCAACGCTGCTTAATCGTGATCTGGCCCCACAAATCCTACAGGCAAGGCATCACTTGCGCGTCCCGTTGCTCTGATCTCACTTCTGAGGACCGCAGATACTGTGCATATCATGTCACAACTTGGGCGACAAGAGTCATACATACACCCGCGTGACACCACATGCGGCATATGTTGCTAAAGGTGCATGATGCACCACACGTGTGCCGTCCGTCGACCATAAACACTACCCACCACATGTACGAACATGGCACCGCCCCCGAATTCGACTACAATCACTATGCAACTCGCTGGTACGCAGTCCTACGTAAAGTCCCAACATGATGACGCATACAATTGCATGCGATGAAGGAAGCACGCAAGCGGGGAGAAACTTCGCGAGCTCATCCGAAAACTTCCACTGGTAGGCGTACCTCGTGGGCAAACTCATCTCCCTGGCCGTTCTCTCCAGCCAGTGTCACGCGAACGCCAACATACCCTAGCCCCCGACAGTGTGAGGAGATCATGCCAAGACCCAAGGTTTCAAAAGGAGGTTAGTCTAAGCTGGCGTCCAACACGTGCTTGTCATTGACAGCCGTCCGCGTTGACGACCAGCCTATTGCGCGACACAAAATAAGAGGCATACCCTTATAGCATGCATGTGCGCGAACTTGTATACGCAGATGGCACACTTTTGCTAGCCACCTCCAGAGAAGCAGCCGCGGCGTACATGCATGTCGTACACCATATGGGACAACAGTACGATTTGCAGTTTGATTGGCGCAAAATCGAAGCGTTGGCTGTAGGTGCCGACGTGTGTATTTTCAAACCGGACGGCACGCTGATCCCGCAGACGGGAAGCATAGTCTATAGCGGTAGTCTGATTAGCGACGAGGGCAAGATAGGGTCAGAGCTGTCGCGCCGCCTAGGAGCTGCGGGTGCAGATTTTGACAGATTGGCCAGAGTATGGAGCCACTCGACTCTCACACAGCAGAAAAGGATTCAGGCTTCTGAATCTTATGGGGTAGGTAAATTGCTGTACTGCCTGCACACTTCTTATCTTATAACTAGCAGGAGTTGCGCTGTTTGGACGCATTCCAAGCGCGGTGTCTGCGCGAACTCTTGCGCATTCCCCATTCATACATCAACAGAGTCTCGAACGCATCCGTGCTTGAGCGGGCAAACGCCCGCCCGCTCAGCAACGCGCTCCTCCGCAGACAGCTTCATTGTTTTAGTCGCATCGCCAGAAAGCCAGGTGACGACTCTGTGCGGTACGCAGTGCTCCAGCCCTTCCTCCCTCTTCCCCCGTCCCACCCAGAGAAAGAGAAGGCGCCCACGAGCAACGTGCCCCCGGGAAGTTAGGCACGCCTGCAAAGCAGCTGGGGGTATAGAGGCCCTTCCGGCGCTGTGGCAGGACACCATTCTTCGGCCACGGCGTGGTGGGTCGCAGTCAGTAAGTATTGCGATACCACGTGAGAATGGGTATGTGCTCACATGTGCGTTTCGTACTCAGCATTTTGCTTGCTTGCTTGCTGCGTTGACGACGACATCGTTTGCGGTAACTGGTCAGACATTGACTGCACCTGATGGGCTGGCCATGGGTTCACCTGGTATCCGTTTACGTGTACTTATCTGAGGGATGCTTACTGTTCTGCTGCAAACGCCAAGCGGTGGCTCGCGCTGGCCATTCCTCTCGCGTTCAGGGAAGACTGAGAGATGGGTGAGACGTGTTCAAATGAGGATCGCCCCACCGCTAACGGGCGGCGGTTTGGTGTTCGAAACGCCCCTGGTGAAATGTCGGATCAGCCAACGAATCACCCCATCAACAAAACGCCTCTCTCTTGTTCTGGCGGAGAAGCAGCACGAAACCAGCCAAGCGCTGATCGCGAGATGTCGTTGCCCTCGGATACATGGCCTCTCGACCGATCCGATTCTCAAGCCATTACTGTTGCCGCCCACCAATTACGGCAAGAGGAAAGCGGTCCAAGCAACTCACTGGTACGTCCCGAAATTCTCAGAAGACTATGGCTGCGTTGAACATCTCGACCCTCACTGCACAACTGTGGGGGTAAACGCTGCGATGCATATCTGCTCCCACACGACGGAGGGCCAGAGAGTACGCCGAGCGTTCTTGCATTCTGGCACTGACTGGCAGCTCCTCCACACGATCGCAACGGGCACTCAATGATGTCTTGACGTCGACCTTCCTTGTCGTACTGCGTCGTGGCCTTGATTATCTCCTGCGCACGGAAGCGACTAAACATGTGGCCAGCCCATTTCCGCGGCATCCCAGCGGAGCGATGTGAGGTGCTGTCGATAATACTTACGTCATGAAATCCGAGGTGTGGGATTGGACGACACGAAAGCCTCTCCACGTCACTCTCTAGAGGAGAACACATCAGAAGCCTCAAATGCTGGTACCAATGCGAAGTCCCTTGACAAAACTATCCCAACTTAATGATAAAACAGTTATGTGGGCCTTGTGTGAGCGCATCTGCTGGCATAACCAACTCCTGGCGCGCCCCTGAGTAGGGTTCGGGCCCAACTCAACGACAACTGAAGGAAACCAATCCAGACTACGCACTGCAATCAGAAACTATGCCGCAACCCTAAGAAGCAGCAACGTGCAGTCCAGTACAAAGGGAAACACCACAACAGTCATACAATGCAACGCACTGCAACAACATGCGATGACAAATGCCGAGAACGTAACAGTGCAATACAATGCTGCGTCATGCAATGCAGGCCAAGATCAAGACAGTGCAATGCAATGCGACGCAGAGGAATGGCATGTGCACCAATCCAAGGCAACGCCTAAACAATACGACAACGAATGCACGCCACTGCAACGTAACTGCAATACAAACGTAATCCAACAAAAGGAACTGTGCCCACGTATCAACGCAACGCACTGCAATACGATGTATAGGCACAAAGCGCAGGCGCAATGCAGACGTAGAACCACGATGCAGAAACACTGCCCTCACACGCAACCGCAACGCGAAAGCTGCAGAGAAGCAGTACACCAGCAGTGCAACATCAGTGTGGCAACCATGCAAGAACACAGCGAGCGCAGAACAGAAGCGCTGCAACACCAACGCAGGTGTGACGCAAATCAATTTAGCCCAAGACAGGTGCAAACATGGTGCAAACGCAAGTCAAAAGCAAGGCCAACACCATTAATTACAAAGACATGCGCTACGCCAATGCAAACGCAACGTTATCCAACAGCAGTGCAGAAACGTCATATCAAGCTATGAATGATACCAGAGAAAAACCCAAATCCATTGTTTCAGGGCTATAGGGCTATGGAGCTAGAGGGCAATAGGGGTATAAGGCTATGGGGCTATCGGGCTATGGGGCTATCGGGCTCTAGGGCTATATAGCTATAGGGGTATAGGGCTATGGGGCTATTATGGGGCTATGAAGCTATAGGGCTATAGGGTTATTGGGCTATTATAAGGCTATAGGGCTAGAAGGCTATAGGGCTATAGGGCTACAGGGCTGTAAGGCTATAAGGCTATTGGGCTATAGGGTTATTACGGCTATCGGAGGTGAGGGGGTGAGATCGAAGTGGAACGGAGAGCCCCCCAACCGGGAAATCGATTTCGGTTTCGTGTTCGTGCGTGCCGTGCGGGCGAGGCGAAGGTGCGTGGGCGGGCGAGAGAAAGTCTCATGTGGCTGAGGCGCGGCCGGACCAAATGTCTCCCTTCCGGGCGGCCGGGGGCCCGCGGTGTCCCGCCGGTGTCCCGTTGGTGTCCCGTGTGGCTGAGGCGCGGCCGGACCAAATGACTCCCTTCCGGGCGGCCGGGGGCCCGCGGTGTCCCGCCGGTGTCCCGTCGGTGCCCCGTCGGTGTCCCGATAATGATGATGTTGATGATGATCATGATGGTTGTGTTGATGGTGATGATGATGACGATGATGGTGTCCTGGTGATGATGATGATGTTGATGATGATGATGATGAGATGACGATGATGTTGATGTTCTGCCCGTTGTTGTTGATGATGTTGGTAATGCTGATGCTGCTGATGATGATTATGGTATCCCCATGATGATGATTATGACGGTGGTAATGATGATGGTGATGGTGATGGTGTACCGATGATGATATTGATAATGATGTTGGTGATGATGATGCTGCTGATGATGGTGCCCCGATGATGTTGATGATGCTGTTGATGATGATGATGATAATAAGCTGATGATGATGATGGTGTCCCGATGTTGTTGATGATGTTGATGATGACAACGATGGTGGCCATGATGGTGTCCCGATGATGATGATGCTGATGGTGATGATGACGATGGCTGTGTCCCGCTGGTGATGTTGATGATGTTGTTGATGATGATGAGATGACGATGGTGTTGATGTTTCTGCCCGTTGTTGTTGATGATGATGTTGGTAATGATGATGCTGCTGATGATGATTATGGTATCCCGATGATGACGAATATGACGGTGGTGATGATGATGGTGATGGTGATGGTGTACCGATGATGATATTGATGATGATGTTGGTGACGATGATGCTGCTGATGATGATGGTGTCCCGATGATGTTGATGATGCTGTTGATTATGATGATGATGATTAAATGATGATGATGATGGTGTCCCGATGTTGTTGATGATGTTGACGATGGCAATGATGGTGACCATGATGGTGTCCCGATGATGATGATGATGCGGATGGTGATGATGACGAAGGCTGTGTGCCGATGGTGATGATGATGATGTTGCTGACTATGATGAGATGATGATGGGGATGATGATGATGGCCTGATGATGATGGCGTTGCTGATGATGACGATGATGATGATGACGACAGTGTCCCGATGACAATGAAAATGATGGTGTTGGTGATGATGATGATGACGTTGAATGTTAGATCGATTGTGATATCGGTAGTGAGATCGATAGTGAGACCGAATGTGAGATCGATTGTGAGATCGATAACCAGATCAATTGTGAGACCGAGCGAATGAGATATATCGAGTGAGATCGATTGTGAGATCGATCGAGTGAGATCGATCGAGCGAGACCGATAGTGAGATGGATAGTGAGACCGATCGAGTGAGACGCTGCATCCCCCCCCCCCCCCCCCCCCGAACCTCCTTATCACCCGAAGGGTGGTCGTATAGGTATGGCTATGAGGCCCTAGAGATACAGGGCTATAGGGCTACACCTTGAGACTCCAAGGTCGATCTATAGTGCGGGGTCGAACTATAGATCGACCTGGCACTTTCCTTGGGTCGCACTATAGTCCAACCCATGATTTTTGGCCAGGTCGTACTTTTCTTCGCTCGCGCATTGTTAAGGATCCCCTGAGTGAGGGGGCATGCGTCCCCTGAGCGAGGGGTATCGGCTGCATCACATTGCGCGCATGTTACAACATCCCGCAGCTGCGCAGGCTCGAGGGCACATAGCGCTACTCTTGCTTGCGCGCACTGCGCGGGGGGTGGGCAATGGTCAAGGGCAAGACGGAGGTGGAGATACGGGCTTCTTCTGTGACTGAGGAACAGTTGAAGCCGCTCGTGAAACAGCGCATTAGTCTCATCGAAAAATGCCAACTGCAAGGGGGCATAGATGACTTCATGAAGAACAACATGCCGTTTCTCTTGCCGCTTGCGCAGCTCACCACGCGCGTCAAATGGAAGAACCTCCAGGATGTCGTGTTGAAGCAGAAGCCGAACATGCACCAGGAAGAGTGTAGGCGTTTCTGCCAGGAGGTGGCCAACGCTTTCAGCCATGTTTGCAACAAGTTCTACATCGCCAAGACGGGGGGGAAGCTGGAGGCGCACGCAAAAATGCTTGGGGTGGCAATGGGGCTGCAGCCTGGCAGGGCAAGCCCAAGCACAGGAGAGAGCAAAAAACGCGCCGACAGCAGCTCCGACATAGAGATGAACCCTCCAAAATCTTCCACGGCCGCCGCGTCGTCCAGCGCAGATGGGGGCAGCAGGCGCAATGTCATCAAGAACGCCTTCGGCATCAGCCCGCCTCCGAAACCGGCAGGGAAGAAACAGAAGGTTGCCACGTGGAGCCCGATGGTGGTGTTCTCGTCGCAGGAGGACGTCGAGCTCGCTGACCCGCCCGCCGCGGCCCCGAAGGAGGATCGGAGGGGGCGGGCAGGGTGGGGGGGGGAGGGGGGCAGTTTTGATTTTTCACGGCGTAACCGAACCCCTTCGGGAGGGGAGCTCGGGAGGGGCAAGTGAGAGACCCGCCCCAGGATCCCCTGGCCACGTATTTCGATTTCAACTCCGAGCCGATGCGCATGGCGATGAAGTTCGCAGACAGGGAGGAGCGGGGAACACTGACGAAAGGAGGCGATGGTTTCTTGGATGCCGTGTTTCCCGACGGCAGGACGGAGAAGACGGAGCAGCCCAACGCCCTCCTGGCAGCAAGAGCGGCAGCCGCGCAGGCGAAGGCGAAAGCGTGCAAAAAAAGGGAAACCAGCAGGACATGTCGCGGCAAAGAAGCCTGCAATGAGAAAGCCCAGTGCAGCCGCCGCGAACACGGAGACGGACCAGGACGATGAGGGGGAGGAGGAAGAGCAGCTGGAACCCGATGAGCCCGTGGATGCTGCAGATGAGCCCTCGGTCGGCGCTGGGCCCCCCGCTGGCCACGCCGACCGCGGGTACAGCGTGATGCACTACAAGAGGGGCCACTCTATCGGGTTGAAGCGGACGCACGGTGAGAAGAACCAGTTTGTGAGTTTCGGCGGGAAAAAGTACAAGGACACCTTGGACGAGGCCACGCTCAGGGAGATCGGCGCAGAGCTGAAGAAGGCCTTGGTCGACGGCACCGTGGCTGACACCAAGGAAGCTGCTAAGGCGGAGGCTGAGCGCTTAGTGGCACAGCGCTTGGGCGACTAACCGCATCCATCCTCATCATCGCATCCATCCTCATCATCATCCTTACCGTCTTCATCGCCATTGCCATCGCCATACCCGTTGGCAGAGCGCCCTCTCCAGTGCTAGACGACGCCCCCCCATCGCAGGGGCGCCCCTCCGTGAGGGGACCGCGCGATGGATTGGCGAGTGATGGAACCCCTTAAGAGGGGAACCCCTTAAGAGGGGCTTCAGCACACTCGCGATAAGACAGGGCAATGGCCCCCTCCGAGAGGGGACCCCTCGGGGAGGGGATCAAAGGTGCGGCAGTCTGCTAGCTCATTATGTGTATGGCATTGCGTTTCCTCCTCGTTCCATCCCTCTCCCATTTGCCTTCATGTTCTTCACCCGCA